AAGATACAAATTATGAACAACAAATACACATCTATCAACAAGTGAATCTAAAAATCAAGTGAATAAATAATCTGATAAACAGAATAAACTGGTGAATATAATAGAATCAGGGGCATAGAAAGGGAGTGGACTGACTATCCTCAGGAGGGGGGAGGAGTGTAGGGATGCGGGAAGAGACTGGACAAAAATCGTACACCTATGGATGAGGACAGTGGAGGGGGGGGTGGGAACCAGGTGGAGGGGTCAATGGGGGGGAAAAAGAGGAACAACTGTAATAACCCGAACAATAAAGATTTAATTTTAAAAAAAAAAAGAATACCTGCTACAGAATAGGAGCTGTACTCACTAATATAAAACTATATTCCTAGCCTTCTAGAGATGAGCTATATGAATTCTATAATTGTAATGAAACTTCTCTATGTCCAAACTCTGGGCAGTGCAAAACCTCATGAGACAACTCTTTCACTACCCTATTGAAATAAACAATTCAGATGTACGGTATCCTTAAAAACAAAACAAAAATCCTTTAGATCTAGAGAACCTGTCAGACATTCTATATTCTCATTGCCAAAAGTGACTGGCATTAAGTGAGTAGTATTAAGCCTATAACTGTGTTGGTACAGTTAACAGGCTAAATTTCACCATTATTCATAAAATTTTAAAAAATTCACATGGCTCCCTACCTTTAACATCTTAGCACTATTTTATTATTATACTGATTATATGGCACCCTTGAAGTATGGTACACAGATGGCATAGAAGGAACAGGCAATGACTGAAGAACATGCATGGTGGCCATAAAGGCAAAGATGGGTAAATAAAAAAACATCTTTTTGTTTTGGGGAAGGTGGCAGATTCAGTTAGGAAGGCTAGGTTGAAAGCAATGGCAGCGCAACCAGGTGGAAATGTTTAATAGGCAAGGATAATTATGAGACTCATGCTTGCGTTACAGCTCAGACAGAAAATAAAGATCTGAGAAATATTGACAAAGTGTAATCTACAGAGTATTACATAGTTACTTAATTCATAATGTACAAATAGAATTCTAAAGAAGCCCTTGAAAGAGAAGGGAATTAAGTCTTTCTTAAAAGACACCAACTACTGTTACAGAGATGTAAGCTTTACTTCACTTAAACTAAAATATGCATACTAAAGGTAGAAATAGAAAATTTTCTTTTAGCCCTGGCCAGGTAGCTCAGTTGTTTAGAGCATCATCCCAATATGCCAAGGTTTTAGGTTCAATCTCCAGTCAGGGTACATACAGAATCAACCAATGAACGCATAAATAAGTGGGTAGAACAGCAAATCAATCTCTCTCTCTGCCTTCCGCCCTCTCTCTAAAATCAATTAAAAAATTTTAAAAAAATTTCTTATAAACATCAAATATTCATTTGAAGAGTTTCTAGTAAGCAAAAATCTCACAGGAACAAGGGAGCATGCCATGTTGACTAGTCTAGACAGTGGGGACATAGCAGTAAACAACGAAAGTCTCTTCTCTCCTAGATCAGGAGGAAACAGAAAATAAAGAGTGTCCCAAAATTCACGCAAGAAGTAATTTTGATAGAAAACACAGGTTTATAATTAAAAATTGTAAATTTTTTATTGATTCATAAAGTATACAGTATAGGGTTATGTATGGAATAGCATATCGGGTAAATGGCCTCCACAGCTTTGCTGGCACATACGTAAATGGATTATGGAACAACAACAAGTGGATGCTGATTTTTCTAACAAAATCATCTTCAGCGATGAGGCTCATTTTCATCTTGATGGCTTGGTTAATCGACAAAATTGTCGCATTTGGGATTCAGAAAATCCACGCGTGATTGTTGAGAAACAAATGCATCCATAACGTGTCACTGTTTGGTGGGGATTTTGGGCTGGAGGAATCATCGTACCATTCTTCTTCGAAAATGCGGCTGCTCAGGCAATAACAGTTAATGGTGCTCGCTATCGCGACATGATAATCCAGTTTTTTGTGCCTAAATTGCAAGATATGGATGTGGACGACATGTGGTTTCAACAAGACAGTGTCACATGCCATACAGCCTGAGAAACAATTCAATTACTGCATGAGTCATTTCCTGGTCGTGTAATTTCCCGTTTTGGTGATCAGAATTGGCCGCCCAGATCATGCGATTTAACGCCGTTGGACTTTTTTCTTTGGGTTTTTTTGAAGTCTAAGGTTTATGCCAACAAGCCCACGACCACCCACGCCTTGAAGAAGGAAATTGAGCGCTCTATCAACGAAATTCAGCCACATTTATGCAAAACAGTCATGGAAAATTTCAACAAAAGAGTGTGTATGTGCCAGCAAAGCCATGGCGGCCATTTATGCGATATGCTATTCCATACTTAACCCTATACTGTATACTTTATGAATCAATAAAAAATTACAATTTTTATTATAAACCTGTGTTTTCTATCAAAATTACTTCTTGCGTGAATTTTGGGACACCCTTTAGATGAAGAGACAAATATATAATTTGGAATGGTACTAAATTCTTAAAAGAAAAATAAAGCAAGGTAAATAATCAGAGAATGACAAAGGCTATTTAGAATATACTTGATGTGGAAAGCTTCTCATCAAAGGAAACATGTGCGTAAAAAGCTTAAATGAAGAGAGGGAGAAAGCCATAGGAAGATCTATGAGTATATTCACCCCATTCCAAAAATCGGGTAGGTGTACCTTCTCAAAAACCAAAAAACATTAAATGGATATATTTTGTATTTCATAATTTTATACCTCTTTTTATGCAGAAAGAACCCACAGTTGACATAATTTACCTTTCTTTCCAGCTCCCCTGAATAATCCTCTTCTATAGGATGCCTGAAACATAGATTATGCTGATGCCACCACATCCACAGAAAACCCCACTACAGACAATAGTTAATCTGAAGAAATAAGTTAAGATGATGCAATTGACAGCCTTAGTTGGCTTTGCAATAAAACAAAAATCCTAATAATGACATTTATAACTGGGAAAACCTCACAATTTGTAACACAGTATTTGATTAACACCTAGTAGACTACCTTCAATCCGTAGCTAGGTTCTCTTGCAATGGGGTTTATGATGTCACAGTACATATGCAAATTTCACATGCAGTGGGCCTGCATTCAAAACAGTTAATAAGGGGTAAAAAAAAAATGTGAGTTGACAATATAACAGATTTTGCTATCAACTCTGTTACTGAGAAATCAAACCTATATACAATTAATTATTTTAATGACAAAGCTACAATGAAAATCCATTAACACACCAAGCAAGAAGTTGGAAAACTATCTTGATTTCTGTGTATTAAGACAGGATTCTCAAAGGACTCTGTTTCTTCCATGGAAGAAGTGTTTAAAGAATATTTCAAACATTTTAAGGTGGAAAACAGGAAAACAATATTATAAATGTGAACACTTGAATAAAGATGCAAAATAATGAACATCACAAACTGATGAACAATAATAAATACAGAGACAAAGAAGCATCAAACAGACTGTCAAACTTCAGCGGGAAGGGAGGGGAGGGTTGTGGGGCGGTAAGAGGTCAACCACATGTATGCATGCATATAAGCATAACCAATGGACACAGACACTAGGAGGGTGAGGGCATGAGCGTTGGCGAGGAGGCGGGGGGAAGGCGGCGGGGAGGTCAATGGGGGGAAAAGGAGACATATGTACTACTATTTGTAATACTTTTAAACAATAATAAAGAAAAAAAGATAGCACAGGGTTACTGATAATGGTTTGTGGAGGATATAGGTCCCCAAAATACTAGTTCAAGCATGGATTAAACAGTAACAGCCATCTCCAGTAGCATAAGCAACAAATGCACTTACATGCTATGTTAACATTAAAAAAAAAAAAAAAAAAAAAAAAAAAAAAAAAAAGCCAAAGCCGGGAAGGATAATAATATTCAGAAGGACATGTCAGTCCAAGGGCGTCAACTTCGAAACAACAAGAAATGTGAAAAGTGCTTGTAGCCTTTCCTATTGGCAAAAAAGATATAAGGTAAGAAAAAAAAAAAAAGATATAAGGAGTGTCTCATATAGCCCATGATCTTGCACCTAATAGATGCTTAATATCTGTTCATTTGACCAGCATTCTACGTGCAGCTTTCTTATGGTATGCCTGGTAAAAAAAAAAAAATTAGCCCTAACCGGTTTGGCTCAGTGGATAGAGTGTTGGCCTGCGGACTGAAGGGTCCCAGGTTCGATTCCGGTCAAGGGCATGTACCTAGGTTGCGGGCACATCCCCAGTGGGGAGTGTGCAGGAGGCAGCTGATCGGTGTTTCTCTCTCATCGATGTTTCTAACTCTCTATCTCTCTCCCTTCCTCTCTGTAAAAAATCAATAAAATATGTTTTAAAAAAATTAGAGGAAATGTTTATGTTCTAATAACTGGCAAGTGTTTGTTCAATAAATGAATTAGAAATCTCTTAAAAAATAGTAATAAATATATATTTTTTAAAAGTCATAATAACCTTGGCTGGTGTTCCAGTTCAAGGGCATGTACCTAGGTTATAAGCTCTATCCCCTGACCCAGTCTGGGCACGTGTAGAAGGCAACCAATCCATGTGTCTCTCTCACATCAGAGTTTCTCTCCCTATCCTCCCCACTTCCATTCTCTCTGAAAAGCAATGGGGAAAATATCCTCAGGTGAGGATTAATAAAAGTAAAATAAAAAAACATAATAAACAAAATGTGGTATAGTAGGTACATATAATGGATTATTCAGCCTTAAAAAGGAAGGAAATCCTATCACATGCTACAACATGGATGAACCTTGATATTATATTAAGTAAAATAAGCCAGTCTAAAAAGACAAATATTGATGATTCCTCTTATGTGAAACTAGAGGCCCGGTGCACAAATTCGTGCACAGGTCGGGTCCAGCCGGCCCGCCCTGATCGGGTCTGATCAGGCTGAGCCAGCCAGGGGGTGGGGAGAGGCTGTGGGCAGATGGCCAGCCGGCCCTTGCCCTCTGGTCGAATTCCAGGTCAAGGGGACTATTTGCATATTAGTCTTTTATTATATAGGATATCTAAAAGTAGTCAAATTCATAGAGACAGATGGTAGAATGTTGGCTTCCAGGGGCTGAAGGAAGGAGTAACAAGGAAGTTGTTGTTTAATGGGGATAGAGTTTTAGATTTGCAAGATGAGAAAGTTCTGGAGATCTGTTTCACAACAATGTGACTATACTTAACACTACTGAACTGTACATTTACACTTGTTAAGATTGCAGGTTTCATTCATTTTCTTTTTTTAAAATAGATTTTATTGATTTTTTGTTTTTTAGAGGGATAGGGAGAGATAGATACATCAATGATGAAAGAGAATCATCATCAATCAGCTGCCTCTTGCATGTCCCCCACGGGGGATCCAGCCCACAATCTGGCATCTGCCCTAACCAGGAATCAAACCATTGGCCTCTTGGTTCCTGGCTCGACGCTCACCCGCTGAGCTACACCAGCCAGGCTTCATTCATTTTCTTACCACACAAAAAACAGTAAAGAATGATGGCCTCAAATATGGTGAAAATTATAATTAACTTGCTTCTTGTCAGGAAAACACTCAAGAAATTGATTTTACCAAAGGCAATGGGACTGATTTCCTCATTATCTCATAGATATAATTGTAAAGCTCTGGTGAGCTCATATTCTTGGTCCCAAAATTACAGTTCAACACACAGAATGGCTATTGGTACCAGGAATTATATGGAAACAATTACTAATATAAATCAAAATGAATAGTATTTTTAAATTTTCCATGCTCTTTCATATACCCAAGATCAGAATCTAAATCTGTGTGTGTGTACTTGTGTGTGTATAGTATTCATGCACATATACAGTTCTATATGGTAACTATATATAACATATATTAATACTTTTTGCAAATTATGGATTTTCCAAGGTAATGCCCTCTGTAATGGTCTGGTTCAACACTGAGTACCCATCCTATATAATCCTATATAATAAAAGGATAATATGCAAATTAACCCTAATGGCAGAACGACCCGAATGACTGCTCGACCAGCCACTGACCACCTCTTGGTCCTTTTCCCTGGCTGGCAGGCTCCAATTGCCAATGGGGTGGGTGGCGGTGGGGGGCGGGGCCAGCTGCCAGGGAAGATGGCCCTGATCACAGGCCAGGCCTAGGGACCGTATCCACGCACGAATTTCATGTGTCAGGCCTCTAGTCTATCTAATAATAGGATAATATGCAATTTGGATGGGACACCGTCACGTAACGACTGATCAGCAGACTGCATCCCCGCCCCCTGCGCTGGCCCGGAGATATGAGGCTCGCATCCCCGACCCCAGCAACAGGCCCCGGGAAGTGAGGCTTGCATCCCCGCCCCCGGCAATGGGCCCGGGACGTGAGGCTCGCATCCCCGCCCCCTGCGCCAGCCCGGGGACTTGAGGCTCGTGTCCCTGACCCCAGCAGCAGGCCCAGGGATGTGAGGCTCATGTCCCTGCCCCCTACGTCGGCCTGGCAGTCCGCAGGCGCTCGGAGGTACATAGGCCTCCGCTGCGGCCCGGCCCAGTCCAGGTGCAGGGCCATAGCGGGGCCTCTGTGCGCCTGCACCAGGGGTCTGCAGGCCTCCCCTGGCTCCAGCCTACCTCTTTGGGGCAATCCATTGAGGAGCCCCGGATGGGTGGGCAGGGCCTACCTCTTTGGGGCGATGGATCGCGGGGCTTCCTCATTAAGACAGGGCACAGGCCAGGCTGGCCCCTCCCCACCACCACCGCCCCAAGTGCACGAATTTCATGCACAGGGACACTAGTGTATTATAAGTAATAAAGAGTGCTTAATGAAATCTAAAGCCAAATTGCCTGGGATCTAATCTTGGCTCCGCCTTTTACTCACTGTGTGACCTATTCAGCCTCTCTGTGTCTTATTTTCCTCAACTGCAAAGGAGAATGAAAATAGTACCTTTTCTATAAAGTCAATGCACATGTAAAGCACTTAGAAAAGTGCCTGGAAAATACTGAGTATTCAATAAATGCTCAATTTTGTTATTTTTATTGTTGTTAATTTTATTTAAGTTAATCTTACATTAAATTTTTAATTACATTAAAATATTTTGTTAAATCTGCAAAAATAGAGGTCTTCTACTACATAGAATATACCTATTTAAAGGCAAACATTTTTCCTGAACTATTTCTACTTGCATTGTCTTCATCTTATATTGTCGCTTAATACATGCAATACCATAACCAGGCTTTTCTCTCCCCTGGCTTTTTGGAGAACAATTAGAGTTTTATCTCTGATAGGGCTTAAGAAAACTCTGAAAGGCACTATTAAGATGTCATCACAATTAATCAATAAAGTGAAAACTTCCCAAAGCCCATGTTTTCCAAATGTAATTCCTTTAACACTATGAGGTTTACTAGTACAAAGGTTGTAGTAACAAAAAATAAGACAAGATAAATAATCTTATTCAAAGAAGAAACTATAAAAATGTTGCCCTTTTTCATATCCCAATGTCCTGTCTACTCTTTTATTGTTGTTCTATTTTTATTGTGGTAAAAAATAGAGAATATAGCCCTAGTCAGTTTGGCTCAGTGGATAGAGCATCAGCCTGCAGACCGAAGGGTCCCAGGTTGGATTCTGGTCAAGTGCATATGCTTGGGTTGTGGGCTCGATCCCCAGTAGGGGGCATGATTCTCTCTCATCATTGATGTTTCTATCTCTCTCCCCCTCTCCCTTTCTCTCTGAAATAAATAAAAAAAAATATATAAAAATCACAGGAAACTCACATTTAAAAAAAATAACAAAATTTACCAACCCTGAAACTCTATACCCCTTAAGCAACAGTTCCCCTACTTTTAGTAGAGAAAAATCTAAGAAAAGGATAAAAAGAATAACTGCATTTATACCCAGTTATTTTCCCATTATAGCTAGCCATTACTAAAACTAAGAATGTTAACATCAAACAAAAAGTATCCAAACCTCAAAGAAAATCATTATAATATAAACTAGAGGCCTGGTGCACAGATTCGTGCACTGGTGGGGTCCCTCAGCTTGGCCCGTGCCCTCTTGCAATCCGGGACCCCTTGGGATCTGGCCAAAATCGGCAGTCCGACATCCTCCGAGGAATGTAGCAGTGCAGGAAGTG